CCTTGCATAGTTCACGGAATGTCTTAGGGTTAGATTCACGTACTATGGATTCAGGAAGGGAATTCCAGTTAGTAACAGCGAGAGAAAATGGGGATTTTTGGAATTTATTATTTCTGGCGAATAGAGGTTTAATTTTTAGGCTGTGGTCATGACGCAAGGAGATGTGAGGTGATGGGTGACAGTTGGTGTTTCGAAAATCAGAAGATGAATAGTAAGTTTTGTGAAAAAGGACAAGACGAGCAAGTTGAGTTCTTTGAGATAGAGGGCATAGGTCGAGGTTGAATTTTAGTGCAGCTACGCTTGACGTTCGCGAGTAGTCGTGTGTTATAAAACGTGTGGCCTTGTTTTGCACCGATTCGAGTTTAGTAATGACATATGATTGATGAGGCCACCAAATAAAGTTGGCGTAGTCCAATTTTGATCGGACGAAAGTCTTATAGGCACTTAGTTTAACACAACGGGGAGTGGGGTATAGGTTACGTTTTATGTATCCTAGAGATCTGCATGCGCTAGCCACTATATTGTCAATATGAGTATTCCAAGTTAGGTCATCAGAAAATGTTACGCCTAAATATTTGTAAGTCAGTACTTTTTCGAGAGGCAGTGTTAGTAAGGTGTAGTTACGTACAATAGGAGATCGCTGACCAGTGAATGTTAAAAGTTTGCTCTTGGTTACATTGACCTTCATCTGCCACGTGTTACACCAATGAGACAGAACATTTAGATCCTGCTGTAGTAGTAATGAATCTTCAGGGTTAGTGATGCGACGGTAAATTACGCAATCATCCGCGAAAAGCCTAATAGATGATGTTATCTGGTACGAAAAAAAAAAACTTTACAATTAGTTTTCTTCATAGAGCAGGCGCTATCATCATCATGGCGCAAAATGACATTCAAAATGTACGTGCAGCACGGGCTTGAAATGTAATGCCATTCGGCGCCCGAAAGAGATTCGCCCTGAATGGCGTTTGCCATGTCCGCGTGGCACGGGTATTATTAGGATAGCTCATGCACGTGTTACTAAATACAAAGGAAGTAATCGGGGTTTTCTTGGCAATACTGCAAAACCTCAGTGTTCTTTTTTGTATTCCTTGATACGTACTTTAGTTCTCAAGCCCCTCGTAAAAGTTGGTACCGTCTGTTCGACGTCAGTGCGCTGTACGTCGAACTGAAGTTTTGGGGTGTCGTATACGTGACAAGGGGTTGTAAGAATATACCTTTTTTATTAGAGTGTAGAACTGACTCCAGCGTGGTTAGGGCCAATTTATTAAAAGACGCGTGGCAACTCCTTACCTACGGGACCCAAACGGCGCCTCTCGCAACCATACCTCGGCAAACGTCACCCATGAGGGCCCTCACTCACCCTCACTCATCCTCATCTTCACGGGTGAGGTGAGGGTGAGTGAGTGTCTGAACCAGGAAAATTCATGAGTGTGAGGGCGAGTGAGGGCCGTGAGGCTGTGAGGGCTGTGAGGACCGTGAGTGCGTGAAGGCGTGAGTGCGTGAGGGGTGTAAGGGCCATGAGTGCGTGAGGGCGGTGAGTGGTTTGAGGGCCATGAGTGCGTGAGGGGTATGGGGGCCGTGAGGGCGATGAGTGCGTGAGGGGTGTGAGGGCTATGAGTGTGTGAGGGGCATGAGGGCGGTGAGTGTGTGAGTGGCATGAGTGCCTGAGGGGTGTGAGGGCCGTGAGGGCGGTGAGTGAGTGAGGGGTGTGAGGGCCGTGAGCGCGTGAGGGGCATGAGGGCGGTGAGTGCGTGAGGCCCCCTTCAAACGGAGCAGCTTTCTCAGCAATTTTAGTGTTGCTGGCGGGTTGTACCCTAGCTTTCCCTAGATCGACACGAATTGCTGAGGTCGGGTCCGGCTCCAAACAAGCGAGCAACTCGGAGCAATTCGAAGACATTTGAAGCGGCTGCATCCAATCAGGGACGCCATATTTTCACGTGATACCTCGTGCTGGTGATGATGACAACTAAAGACTTGGTTCCGTTTTAAAATTGATCGTTTTTGGAAATAAACTGTTTCAGAAAGATGTATTGGTATTCTCAACGAGATTTAAATGCATAAAAATATGTTTATAGCGCGTGATTATGTGTCCAAATAGTGCAAGAAAAATAAAATGTCATGATGACGAGTGCAAATCGCAGCAATTGGTTGATGCGTGTTAACGCGGGCGGCCCGTGTTGCTGGTGTTGCGACGTCAAGTTTCTGGGCGAAATTGCCCCATCTGAAGCGTGCCTGAGTGGCGTGAGGGCCATGAGGGTTGTGAGGGGCGTGAGCGCGAGAGGGGCGTGAGGGCCATGACTGCGTGAGGGGTGTGAGGGCCGTGAGGTTCAGTGAGGGTGAGTAAAGGGCCGAAGTTGTGTGTGACTGTGAGGATGAGGGTAAGTGAGGGGCTGAAGGTAAGCGTAGCTGTGAGAGTGAGGGTGAGTGAGGGGCTTAGGTGAGTGTGGCTGTGAGGGTGAGGGTGAGTGAGGGCGACCTAAAATGACGATCTCTGCTCGCAACGCCCCATAACCTGTGCGACGCTGTGGCTGGGGCGGCGACGCAAAGACAGACCTTTTGCGGAGACTCTCGTTAAACTTTAGTCCTTCTGGCACTAGTGGCGGGTCGGAAATCCACTAACAATGACGACCATGCGCGGGCCTTAATTCTCTTCTAGGTAGCATTCCAAACTTTCACGGCCAATAGGGGACGGGCTGGTTTTTATCAAAATGGCTGTCATCTGGATGATCATCGTAGACGAGCTGTAGGAGTTTGGGTGTGCAACGCTTAAGTAATTCTAACTTTGTAAAAAAAAACATTTAGTGATGTATAAGATCCGTACTTGACTCATCGACCATAGTAAGAGTTAGGCAAGCACCTTCATTCGGAAGCCGATCGTCCAGGATCATAGGTGGAGCGCGACTCTCACACCGCGGTACCACCATCGCCGAAAGTTGTGAATGCCCCCACGATGTGCATGTCTTAGAAGTAGCGTCAGATGCGCCAGTGTAAGAGGTGCATGCCTCGTGCGACTCTTTGAAGGAAATGGCGGCGCAGCGATGAAATAAGTGGTCGAAGCCAATGCCGGCGGAGCACTAGGCTCGTGGCACGTGCCTTTTGCGTTCCCAGAACAATCGTTGGCGGTACCATAGCCTCCTCAGCCATGGCAGTTCGATGACGGAGCCACAGAATGCCCGGTCGCAGATTTGGAGCGCGAGAATCTGGTAGCACAGAGCATTTCGCGAGGAGTCTGGTATTCAGCGCACATCTTTTGCAGCGGCGAGGACCCGAAACATGGTTTTCAAACCCGACGAGAAACGAAGCGGTAGCTCGGGGAACGCGAGAACCACGGTCGGACATTCCATCGCTCGGGACAAGTGTGTGTCGGTTTCTCGCCGCAGCGGGGCGCCCGTTACATGACTCTTGTCTTTTCACTTTCGGCGGCCGCGTCACGTGACGATCTGCCAGGCTTTGTCAGTATAGAGAAGGCTATGGCGGTTCTTGTAAGATAAGCGAAGCATAAATTTTATCGAGGGGCTTTAGTTCGAGTCCCGCTTTAGCGACAAACGGAGACTGCCGACAAGCCTCAAGCAGGTGCAGCCTCTATGTGAGGGTACCTGAGGCAGCCTTGCAATCTCTCGGTGCTTGTGATATTGGCACGAGTGATAGCAAGTCTGCCAAAGACACCTTTAAGTACACGCTGCACGTGTTTCAGACGGCTGGTCGGTGTCCGTTGTTTCTGTTTGTCGCTCTAGTGTGTCACGGGTATCAGGATTTCAAAGGTCCAGGAATAATTAAATATAGTTTTATTCGTAATGCTTGAATGTACGTCTACTCATATTTGTTACGTTACATCAAAATTGTGGCGGTGGCTATGGATTGGAAGCAACCATAACTGTGCGGATGTTTTGTTTATTCACCTAATAAATAGACTCCTGCGCTCATGTGGAACACCTACAGATCCCATGAAGGAAACCGTGCTTGTTTATAGACCGTTTTTGTGTGACAGTTGTCATGTTGAAGTGTGACGTAGCTGGGTTGGGCGACAAAAACTAAAGTAAATAGTTTAAACATAACTACAATAAAAAGGTATAGGCAAGCGAAAAATATACCTAGTTATTGGCACTAACCATTTGTAATTTAGCGCCTTGCAATCGGCGAATAAAGCGATCTGGTTTTTTGGCCCTACTCAGCTACGCCAGAATTCAACATGGCGGCCGCCACGAAGAAACGGTCTACAAGGAGCGAGTTGATCTACGAAGATAATTAAGAAGTTATGCGCAATCCGGTTATTCTAATGCTTTTGTTAGTCGCACTGTCTTAGAGCCTTTTGTACGACGTCGCTGCCTTTTCAGTCACTGCTGTGCAGGTTTGAAGTCTGAACTTGTTACGTCAGTTGAGCTGCGATTGCGGTGAGAGAAACCATGGCTGCCACACTTGTGATTTGCTCAAAAGAAGAGCAGCGTACAGTAATCAGTTTCTTGTGGTCTGAGGGTCTGCCTGGTGCAAATATTTATCGAAGGTATTTTCCCAGTTTGAAAAACAAAAAAGCGTTTTGTCCAAATAAGTGTGTTCTCATTTGAATTCTTACGAAAGCTCAAGAAAGGACACAGAAGTGTGAGCCATGGAGAAGGAATCGGACGCACCCCCTCGCCCAGGACCGATGACAACATTGAGCGGGCACGTGAACTGATTCTGTCGGACAGTGGATGATGAAATTGATGACAAACTTGGCTTTCTAAATGTTTTCATTATAAATTAAATTAAAGAGACAGAGTGCGGATCATTTTTACTCCCCCATGCATACAGTGCCTAAAGTAAGTTTCTCCCATTTCCTAGTGAACAAAAACTATATAAAGAACCTACTAAGTGATCACTGAATCTTGCCGCTTCGGGTGGACTTTGGGTCGTCTTGACTATAGTACCGTATACAAGGCTATCGCGAGATAAGGATGCCTTGGGCAGAACGAGTGTTCTCCCGCGGGTTTGCACAGACGCACAAACACTTATCCATCAACAATCTTTCTGGATGGATAAACGCTGGAAGGGTATATAAGAGAACGCAAAACTGGCCTGCCTCGTCGCAGTCTGCTTGGGTATTTTGCAGGTAAAAGAAGAGACATTCTATTCCGAGAGGGTAACCGTATTAACGTCCTTTTAAGATTGAAGTCATGAATAAGGTTCTCGTAGTCCTCTGCTTTATTCTCCTGGTGGTGGCGGCGTGGCCGGATGACGATAACATACAGCAGGTGGCCACAGGACCACGAGGACAGGTGAGTTGGTGTCCTAATTGAGGCGGAAAGACGTTTCGATGATGTCTTTTCTAAACCAATTGGCCATTATCATGGTATGATTAAACTGACAGGTTCTTGCGCCCACAACATATTGATAACAAGCTCTAGAAGAACTTGAGAAAGAACCTGCCTGAAGTCCCAAAGCTGCAGCCCCATGCTTTTTTTCTTAAATAAGCTTTAGTACGGTGTAGTGCTCCTTGCTCGAGTCATGGACTTCCTTAACCAGAATGTCCGCATATTGCACATGAAGCAGTACAACCCAGTCCCAATGAAGGGATATTGCTAGTCAAATGATCGAACTTGCCTTAATCACACACTTCTTCGTGATCACTAATGCGCTGTGCTGTAGGCGTTACCGAAAAAAGTAACTCATTGCGTTACTCGTTACTTGCAGATAAAAGGAACGCGTGACCGACCTACGTTACCGTAAAGAAAAGAAGCGCGTTACCGTCACCGTTACAGATAAAAGGTAACACGTTACGTTTGCGTTATTACATATGCGTTACGTGATACTGACGGCGACGACGTTTCTCAACACTGGGACAATGGGCGTGCGCTTTGGAGTCTCTCTAAAGTTGGAGTGTTTGTGTGGAGAAAAGGGAGGCAACATTTTGAACGTATGTAGCATGAGCGGAACTAACGCGTTACCGGTAACGCCGTTACCTTAGCGCGTTACCGCCAACAGTCCGCTACTGTGTATGTGTGTTTCTGTGAGCTGAAATGTTAAAACGGGGGCTGGGCGGGCATGCGGTTCTGTGGCCGTCAGTGTTCACTCCGCGCTAAAGAAAATAAGCTTAGCGAAACGTTGGCTGTTCTTTCTCAAATCCGGCTCCACACGAAGCTCCTGTGCGGCGGATCGTATAAAACCCGGCTCCTGCCGGGTTTTATACGATTGAGCGTCGTAACTTGTGCATATTCGTGTAATCGCTACTACGCGATGAATGACACGTCTGTACCGGCCAAATATTCTGTAAAGCTCTGAATAAGAACATGGAAAGCTTTTCGCTCCATATGGACGTCCACGCAACCTATTTGAGTGTTGAGAATGGCGGAGGGGGGGAGGTGAACTCGGCAAGCGAGCGAGCTTTCGCTTCACGGGCTGTTGCGTCTGGGTGAATCCACGGGTTCAGCAGCGGAACGCCCAGCGTCTCTAGTGCGGTCTCTCGCTCTGGTTTTAGAATGCCGTGTTCCACTCTCTCCTGCACAGGACCTGGCAGATGGTACGATCTGCTCCACGGGCGACGAGTGCGCCAGCAAGTGCTGCCTGAAGCAGTTTACCGTCACGGGGAGCGATGGTCCTGCCCAGTGTCACGTTAAGAGTGATCTCGGAGAGAGCTGCTCTGACGACCAGGTGAAAGGCGGTGCATCCGTGAACCACTGTCCTTGCTCCAGAGGTATGATCGATTCCTCCCATTCCCCCACCATATTCTATGGAACGTTCTTATCTGATCCGTGAAGAAGCAACTCCTGTCGCGCAATCAGGGTTGACAGTGGAGTTTTAATTTAACCGGATTTGCCTGGTAGCAGACAACTTTTATGTAACACGGCACAGCAGAAACAAAGCAATGTAAAAAATGGCGAAGATTGATGATGATGATGATAATAATATTAACGAGAAAAGAGTCAAGGTACAGGCTAGCTGGTGGAAGTCAACCATTTCGTCGTTTACCCTGAGTCTGGGTTTTTTTTAGAAGAGCAGAAGTAACAGAAACCTTTGAGACCTGTCTGTTTTTTCTGTTACTTCTGCTCTTCTAAAAAAAACCCAGTCTCAGGGTAAACGACGAAATGGATGATAATATGTTGGACAGTACAGCAGAAAGGAAGGAAGTATACTTGAAGCTAATCTGTACGTCATACAATCTTTGGTACCGCCGCGTGATTACCGCCGTCTGATTAGCCCATACGAGCTAGAATACTAAAAGCTGCGTTTTTCCTCCTCTAACGTCGTCACTAACGGATCCACATACAACTCAGTATCTGGCGTCCGCGTCACCGCCAGTGCGTCTTGCAGTGTCTTACAACGAGCGTGATGGTCGCTTGCGACGACACCAAGGGGCACGCGTCTGCCGCTATGTCGCGTGCCCTCGTCTAGCTTTCAGCGTGTTTGCCGCGCTTGAGGTATAGGTCTGAAATGTAGTAACGATGACGTCATGCTCAGGCCTTGTCCTCCACGTGACCGTTGTGCTTGACACTGGCTCGACTGTATACGCAAAAGACATGAATTTCGGTAAGGTGACTAAAATAATAATAATAAAAAACATCATCTTGGCTACGCGGACAATTTCCTGCGGTACAGTTTGTAAACAACATTGTTCGTTGAACAGTTAATGATGCTTAAGTAAAAAAAAAAAAGACTACTAACAAAATATATATCTCACATGACTGTGACAACTATCAGGTGTTTTTCCTGTGACGAGGCCCTTAAGGCCCGTCCACACGCTTGCGACTTCTTGGAACCGAGTTAAGGCCGTTCACACACTTAAGGCCCATGCGCACATTCGCGTTTGAGCGCGGTGCGTTCCGTAGCGGCAAGCGGACGCGTTGCGTTGCGAAGACCGCTTGCGCCAAACTTGTACGCACAGTTGCGTTGACACGCAGTCAACCGCAGTCAAGAGCCAATAAGAACGCGCTATCGTCGCTAGTGGCTCACCAATAGTAAGCGAAATCCAAGGCAACATGGCGGCGCACAGCGACAGCGTCGAAGTGTTCGATCTTGGGACAATCTCGCCGGCTTCCCCGATGTTTTGTCAAGCTTGAACCATCGCAGCCTTGGAAAATACAGTCCCCACCGCTCCCCAAAACGAAAAAGCAAGCTCTGCGACCGGCGAACCGGATACGTCTCCAGACGTCTCGCCGAGTCGGCCGGGTGGGGCGAGCGAACACGTCACCCCCTCTCCTCTTTCGGCTTCTGATTGGTCGAACGCACCCGAACGCACCGCAACGCTTCGGAAAGTTGAACGAGTCTCTACTCGCTTGCGTCGCGCTACCGAGGGTTGCGGGGAGGCGCGCGTCGCTCTGCAAGCGACCGCGCCTGGCCGCAAGGACTCCGCAACGCACTCAAACGCGTTCAAACGCGAATGTGCGTATGCACCTTTACAACCCAGTAGGACGGAGAGAGACGAGACCGGTTTTTAAGCCTCTTGCGACGGCGTAGGACCTGGTCCGCAACAGCGCATCTGGGCCCACGCCGTCGCAAGAGGCTTAAAAAACGGTCTCGTCTCTCTCCGTCCTACTCGGTTGCAAGTGGGTGAACGGCACTTTACAACCTCTTAAAATCTCTTACGACGAGTGTACACTCTGACATGCTGGCACCATCTATGCGGTGATCGTGGAATTGTACCTCACTAGAGCGAAGGTTTTCCGGAATTTGCGATCATGGCTCCCCCCTTTCTCTTCACCCCAAATTAAACAAACAAACAAACAAACAACAATTTGCGAGAACAAATGTATTTACTACCTATGAGAACCGGTTGTTCATAACACGCACAAAAGTTTTTTGAGCCAAGAAAGAAAGAATGACGCGCGACAAGATATAAAATATATGGGACCGCCAACTGTTTCAATGCTATCCGATAGGTAGTGCCAGTGTGTGTCTTCTGGTTCTAAGAGATTTTAAGAGGTTTTAAGGCATACGGTTCTAAGAAGTCGCAAATCTGTGAACGGAGCTTAACAGACGTGTGCAACCCTTTTTGCAATGTAAGGAAGCATGCTCTGGGTACTTTTGGACACCACTGTGGTATTTTAAGCTCAATAAATAAATGGTTCACCCCTTGTTGTAAATAACGAAAACCGACTTTTTTTTTTGTTGTTTTTTTTACAGGGTCTTGCGAAAACAACATCTGCACTCTCGAAAACACCGACGAAGATAAGGACGATTGAAATATAGAAAGAGATCGGATTTCAAATGTATATAATAAGTAAACATACCTTTACTGTCTTAATCCAGTACTAAGAAACTTGAAGAAACTACAGGGATAATTGTTTCTACTCGTTAAAAGAGAGCTTCCACTCTGTTTACGCCGAGTGCGTGACATATCATGTCACCGACAGTATGATGGTTAATAAAAGTGGCGGTGTCCGCATGCTGGAAAATGCAGTCGGTGTCAGTTTCATGGTATATCGGTCTTCAACATGAGCAAATGACCAAGAACAATATAAAAAAATATTATTAAGTTGTTAATTGTTTTTATTGTTATATTAAAAAATTGTCTCGAACCTTTTTTTTTTAATATAGGGTGCACAAAGTTGCTTCATGTGCGCATCGCTCACGATATGATTCGTTTTGCTTTGTCACAGGGAGCGTTGAGTGGTATTGGATCTGTTGCACACACGACAGACACGCTCATGGGCTCACCCGGATTCATCGGAATGATCGAGACGATTTATCCGAGGGCTGAGTGCGTTAGGTAGGAGTTTGCTTTGATGATAAGTTTCCACGGGTTATGTTTCTTTCGAAGGAGGAGCACTTTCCGTTCTTGGGACCTATAAATTGCGACGAGACCTTCGTGGTAGCTGAAGTGATTGCGAGAAGGAAGAGGTGTATGGCGCCCGCCTTTGATAACGCATCGTCACACACGCAGTCAAAGCCGGGCGGAAGGCAACGAGCGCATGCTGGGAGTGGAGCTTCTGCAGGGTTCGTAACCTGACACCGACTATGCGGAGAGCAAGTCGTCTGCTTCATGCGCAGGAGTTGGGGGGACGTCAGAACGACACCTAGCTGTGTTTGACTTTGACTGAAAGAATAATGATGCCTTTAGGGCTACCCACTATTTTTTTGTATCAGCCAATCAGAGCGCGGCGTTCTGACATCATCGCAACCCCTGTCCAAGGAGCAGACGAACTCGCGCTCCTCATATGCACCAACACACTGTTCAGAAACAAGCCCGCTTTGATCGCGCTAGAGGTGGGTAGTGCGCGTGCGGAGAAACCAAATTCGTCTGCGCGTGCGCAGTGCCGACAGCAGCGCAACCGCAGTGGTGTGACGTCAGAGAGCTCGGTTGGTCCGTAGCCGCCAGCAGCTTCAAAAACGCAGGGCGCGGCTTTTACGTTTGTACTTTTCGCCCCGTGTTTTGTTCCACGTACTCTGCTCGTATCGGCGAAGGCTGCGATCTGGTTGGCTGTTGGTAATATGTTGCTCGGGACTTACCACGACCTGCCTTTCTTATGTTTTTATCAGTGGCTATTACATAGCTTTTTCCAAAGAAAAGGGCTCCTGGCCTGTTCCATTTTCAGTGTTCGTGCGTATATGGCGCGTGATTTGCACGTTCTGCGAAGCGACGCTGAGGAGCTGAGGAGATCGCACACTGGGCTGAAGACTGCTGTACATTGGAATGGTGTACACATTATTAAGGGGGTTTGGGAACCAAATGACGTGAGCGCGAGCTCTCTTACTCCTCTCTTTTAAGTTGGCCAGCGAGAAACGCAATGCGTATCGCCCTCGTGACGATTCGTGCGTGGTCAATAGTACAGTAGTTGCGAGCCTTGTCGCTTGGTGGCCTAGTATTAGCGACGAGATGTTTCGGTGGCGCCGTCGTTCGGTTACCTTTCGTGACGTCATTACCTTGTGAACAACAAGTTCGATGGTGTTTGTAATGGCATGGTGGAAGCCTGAAATTGTAGCGCTCCCAAAGCAACACTGCCAACACCGTCAAAATTGAAGTTCTTACATTCCTCTTATTTCCGTCGATGAGACATCCTTTGCTGACGTCATAGTCAGCATTCAGCCAATTGTGGTGGGTAAAGCCCCTCGATATGATTCCGTTTGTCTTGCAAGTAGCGTCAAATGCGCGAGCGAACGTGGCCCGTGTCTCGAGCAGCCCTTGGAAGCAAATGGCGGCCCAGCACTGAAATGAGCGGCCCTTGGAAGCGAATGGCGGCGGAGCGCCCGCTCGTGGCACGTGTCTAGCGCGTTTCCACAACAATGGTTGGCGGTACTTGTAAAAAACGACTTTATCAAGGAGCTTTAGTGGTGGGCCGACCACAGCGACGCTTTCGTTCGCTCACGTCGTCAATAGTAATATACGACGATTGTAAGTACACCCTATGGCCTACACATAGCTTGCCCGTAACGTCAATGGCGGCATACTGATATTTTCTGTTCCACGAGCGTTCGGTTCAACGTGGTATTTCCACACCGAAAAAGTAGGAGCTCTAGGGAACCAGTAAGTAAAAATAACCGTCAGTGCACACCAGTGGCGACACCTGCAAGCTATGCATATAAGGTATCCACTGGGTGCCGCATTTGAGCGCGCATACGAGGGGGGAGGGGGGTGCGGTTGGCCTGGCTTAGTCTGGCTTAGTTCAAGCTCCAATACCTAAAGTCTGCAAAGAACAACAATCTTGATGGTGTGGAATGCACGTTGCGGAAGCATTGTGGAGTTGAAATAGCAGCCAACGCCACAAACACGAGAGCTCAAGGTCGCTGCTTTGAAACGTTTTTTCGCACAAGCGCTCGCGCTAGAAATGCACGTCTCAAAGCCAGGAGCGCGTACTAGCTCGCGCTTGTGGCTTTGGTTGCAGTCTCAACTTAAGGCCGGTTCAGGCACTTGCGTTTGAGTGCGTTTGACTGCGTTGCGTCGAGAACCGAAAGTGAGTCACCGCCACATCTGTGCTTCATATGAAGCGTGGAATTCAATTCAAGGAATCATCTTGGCACGCGATATAAGCAGCAGGAATGTCCTGGTTTCTCGCTGCCGCAACGCAGTCAAACGCAACTGTCTGAACCAGGCTTTAGAGGTCAATGGAGTATTGAGGAGGATCGAACAAACACCCTAGCTCTTGCGGCACGCCTCAGCTGTGGGGAAACACAGAATTTTCTTGTTTCCAGCTGTGGGGAAACACAGAAATCGAAAGTGACGATTCGAGGGCCGCTCCTCGTGCGACTAAAGCACCGGTCAGAGCGAAGCGCTCGTGCCCAGACAGTGCTATACTCTGTTTCACCTTATGATGTACCGCAGGGAAGGCTTCGAGCGCGAGCTCTTTGCTCTAGTGTGCATCTTGGAGGCTCAAGCTCTCGTACATAGCTGCCAACGCTATAAGCTCGCGCTGCTAGCCTTCACTGCGGTACAACATAAGGGGAAACGGAGTATAGGCGAGGTTTAATTCTTTTTTTATATGCTGTGCCAGTAAACACCGGTCTGTGGGGACAAGTAGGGACAAGTAGGGTGCCTACATGTCTGTCTGTCTCAGGTTGAAGACGTCCATTGTTGCCCTGATTGTGCCATCGCGTGATGCCCTCGCGCAGTCGGTGCCTGACTTGGGCGGTAAAATGGCGTCTATGCATTAGCTAAAGCTACGCGCTCGAGCTGAGTGACACCGGATTGCGCGCACTGGAAAATGCATAAAAAAAATATTGGGTGGAAAAATGGCTGAGATGTCACCACTCAAGCAAAAGCGCGCGTGTGTATGAAGATATAGGACAAGCTCGATGAAGCGCCGCTGTAGTTCGATATCCCGCTCAATAGTAGACGTGTTAGCGAATTCCACCAAGTCACATTCAGGACCAAGGACGTTTGAATAGGGCAGGACCCGACATAACGTCTTGCCCAACGACCCTAAAAAAAAAAAAAAATGCATTTTACATTGCTTTGCGCATCGACGCGCTCTCATCCAAGTTCCCATCGTCTGCTCGCAGCTCGGTCGACTACGTTAGGCTTATGCTACTACGTGTGCTCCGTTCCTGCGGTCTGCTCCGTCTGCTCCCTGCCGCGGCTGGTTTTCGATACGATTGGCGCACCAAAAGAAGTTTCAATGTAGGCTTGCATTCTCATGACGGCGGTGGGAAACGAGCACCTACTGGAAGCAGGGCTTGTACGGTTTTGTCGACCCATGATGCATTCTCAGCGTGTTCATACGTACGACGACTGACACGCTCGCTTTCCAAAGTCGCGCTATGACGACTTGCTCTAGACGAGGCTCCCGGCGCAGTGTCAAGAGCGTCCGCTACACGCCGACTTCCTACTGGTCAGGCAAGTGTTGGGCTCCGAATCTCGCCTCTTCCACACTGACTCAGTGGACACCGCCAGGAAAACATGGGGTAAACAATCGGATGTTTGCCCCATATTCTCATGGCGGCGTCCGTTAACTGAGTTTCCCAATCACGATGAAAATTACCCCAGATTGTGGGAAAAGATGGGAACTTAGTAAAAGAAAAAAAGACACAAGGAAAGAATCGCCTCAATGCAGAACGCAAGTTCGTCTGCTTCTTGACGGCTTGTGATGATGTCAGAACGCTGAACTCTGATTGGCTGATTGAAAAACCAGTGGGTAGACTTCAAGGCATGTAGCACTGAGGTCTACCCAGCATCATTTCCATCAAAGCCAATCAGAGTTCGGCGTCGTTCGGACGCCACCGAAACTCCTGCTCAAGAAGCAGACGACTTGCTCTCCGCATAGCCGAGAGGACATTTCGTGGTCACGCCTACTTTCATTACACTTCGCTCCATCTGTGCAGAATATGGACGCCCCTTCCTGCCCACTATAACCTCGTTGTTCATGACTAAGTAACTCCATGAGCGAGCCATATTTCCGCGAACTGGCGCTACTTCTTAGGAGCTCACAACTTGAGGTATTTTAAAAGGAATAGACCCTTCCCGAAATTCAGTGACATCTGGTGGCTATAATGGCAGTTTAACTTTTGCCGTATTAATGGCGGCAATGAAAATGGAGTCTGCCGTATTTTATCGGGCACCGTCACTTTGGCACGCAAGCGGCAAACGAGAGTGTGCGCTTCACAGTACATTTCCTTCTCAATCTCTTTCAGTGACGACAGAAACAAAGATGCAACCAGTCAGAACGAAGCGTCAACCCACGTACACGGCTTGATAAAGTTCTACAAATCAAGGGGCTTTGGAGCACCTTGATGCTACCAACGGATTGGCTGGGCCCGAGCTAGAAATGAACGCTTACGCAAATCTTGCTTTCATTTCCTGCTTCGCATCGTGCTAACGTCACGAATGTATAAGCCTCGAATTATATGCCGAGGAGAATCTTCAACTTCTTCGTTCATCAGTCAACAGAAGGCAGCCATTAGTACGGCACATATGCCATTTTTCCGATGATGATGGTGATCAAACTGGCCAGACTGAATTTCGGAAA